CGGGGAGGATTGACGGGAGCGGCAGCCAATGGGAGCGCCTGGACTAGAAGGCGGTTCCGGCCAATGGCAGTGACGAGGAGGACCGGCAGGGGCGGGTTGACGGGTGCGGCTGCCAATGGCAGCCCCCCCTGTGCCAGCGGTGGGAGGGCGGACCGGGGCGGATGAACAGCGGCGGCGGAAAACGGTAACGGCGGCCAATAGCGGTGGAGAGGAGGGCGGAACAGGGCGGGGCATTGGTGCGCCAGCCAATGGGAGGGGCCGCCAATGGCAGGGGCGGAGAGGAGGGACCGGAGCGAATTGATGGGGGCGGCTGCCAATGGCAGCGCCGGGGGCGGGGCGGGCTGGCGGGGGCGCAGAGCCCGAGGCCGGAGGGGTCAGGCGAGGGCGCTGCGGCGGGCGCTGAGCCCGGGTCCCTCCGCCGAGGGGAGGAGCGGGTCCTGGAGCCCCCGCTTGGAACTACCGCGAGCGGCGCGCTCCGGTCCGCCCTGAGGGGGCGGGGGCGGGGTACGTGCAGGGACAAAGGATCCGCAGAGCGGGCGGGGAGCCCCCGGGCGGCCCCTCCTGCTCGGTGGCTCGGGTGCGGAGCAGCGAGCTCCTGTCTGAGCCCCGCGCGTGTCCGAGCGCCGCCGGCGGGACGGATCGCAGCGCCTATAGCGAAGAGCCGAGGGTCGCTGCCTTGGGTCCTCCTTCACCGGCCTTGAGCATCCTGCAGATGAGCCGATGTGCAGCGAGGGCTCCGGCTGCCTTTATCCGGGTCCTGCTTTTCCCGTTCCCTGGGGACTGTGCAGGGCGCTGGGGTCCGGGCTACCTGAGCAGCGCTGCCTGTGAGGCTGGCGGCCCGCTGGGGGGCCGTGGCTGGGCGGTGGCAGGGGTTATCTCCGTACACGGCGATGGCAACGCGACCGCTGCAGTGAGGTCGCTGCTTTCCTTCTGAGTCTGCAGCTTCTTGTGCTGCAACTCTTCCATTGCCAACAGTTCCACCTGTGTAAAGGGGAGCCTCTGTGGGTACTGACCCCTGCCAGCTCTCCCCTTGCACAGTAACGCTCTTTGGAAGGTGATCTGGAGAAGTGAATTGAAAAGTTCTATCAACAGCAGATGGGAACGGGAGATCTGCTGTCTGATTTTACCCTCTTGTTTAATTCTCAAGGATATTGGCTTTATCTTTCCTTCTCCTTGACTCTTTTCCAGCTCACAGGAGCTATCGATGAGGTGAAACGGTTCTGCGTGCGGTATTAGAAACAAGGGAGCTAAAAAGAAGAGTAGGCAACTTAAACAAGTGTATTATAAAGATGCTATTGTATTGAAACATGAAGGGGGGTAATTTCGCCATTTAATACTTCCTTAATGGCTGGCTGGCAAGGATAATCACAGGCTTTTAACTCAAATAGGTGTTTCTGCCCACGTAACATCTGGTTGAGGTCTGACTCCTCACACATGAATCGGGAGGCAACAAAGGACTGTACCCAGGGCTTGGCAGCAGTAGTGGGAGGCCGCTGGAGCTTGGGCTGATCCCAGACGTGGCAGGAGGGCCACAGACTGGCAGGAGTTTGCTGCTGGTCCTTGGCACCCTCTAATGCAAATGTGGAACAGGCAAAACCGGCTTCGGCAGGAATGTTTGCTTGGAGCTCTGTGGCAGAGAGGGAGAGCTCAGGCCCAGGGCTGTGCGGGCTTGGAGCTAAACCCATCCCTGCGGAGCGCTGCCAGCAGCTGGAGAAGATGGAGCAGATTCCTCTGGCAGCAGCATCCTCCTGTTAGTGGCAGGATTGAACCCCAGCTCTGTGCTCCTGCAGGTGCCCATGGACTCAGGGATCTGCAGGGCAGTTCTGTGGCTTTGGGACCGCAGGGCTCCCATCCAGCCTGTCCTGCCTGGTCCAAGGGGTGCTCAGCCTGGCAGGGGAGCATCCCTTGGGGTCCCCTCAGCCACGTCCATCGCTGCCTCGGGGCGATGCTGATGCTGTGATTGAGGATGAACACATGGGGCTGCATCTGTGTCCAGCTGTGCTCAGCTCCCCCCCACTTCCCTCAGCCCTGCTGTGTGGGACCAGAGCAGGACTAGGAGCCAAGAGCCTTGGTGGGATGTCCACAGCTCAGGGCCGTGGGGCTGGAGGGAGGGAAGGTGCTTTTGAGCACTTTCTTCTCATGCACCAGGTTATTTTGTTTGCAGATCAGTGAGAGGGCACTTGGCTGGGACCCCTCAGGGTTCCTCAGCCCTCTGAGCCTTTGTAATGAGCAGTGCAATGGACCCATGAGATTCCACTTCTCCCTGTATCCCCATCATTGAGTTAACAGCACTTCAGTGGCAGCCCTCACTTCAGTCTCTTGCTCTTCCTGCAGTCACTCACTGTTAGACACTGTGAGACTAAAGCTATAAAGGAAGGGGATGAAAAGGAAGGGCTGGGGATGCTTGTGGGTGTTTCTGTTGCTTGCAGGACTCAAAAGAGCCCATTTGCTTGCAGCCTTTGCAGTGACCAGCACCTGGTTTGTGAGCATCTCCTGCCCTGGCCTGTGTGCTCAGGAGCCGTGCAGCAGGAGGTGCCTTGGGACCACTCTTAGCACACTGCCAGCAGCCGGGCACAGCACATCGGGCCCTAAACTACTTTGTGAGTAATTATTGCACAGTTAAGAGTAGCTCAGAAAGCGAGGAGCAAGAAATCAGCTTCGCTAATCCCAGAACGGCGTTTGTGCCAGGCTCAGCTCCTTTCTGGAGTTCTAATCCCTCTCCAGATGAAAGGGGAATGTTTGCACTTGGACAGGGTCTCATCCCCATGAGTGTGACCAATCTGCTCGAGTGGCGATGACAAACACACAATGGTTTGTTAGTCCCTTCTCAAGGCATGTGGCAAAATCTCAGCATTTCAAATGCAAGGGGGGGGGTTATCCATGAAGATGTGGGCGTTCGGCACTAACGTGAGATCCAGTTTTCCAGCAGTGCAAGTGACAGCCAGCTTTGAGGGGAAATTGGTTTTCTGTGTGGAGCAAGCATTAAAAATAGGAGCTTTGTGTCAAACCCCACGTCTGTTTTGACTAAATCCCAGATAACAAGAAGAATGGGTAGAAGACAGAGCTTATACAGAGAGCTCCAGAACCCAGGAGCCAGGATTAGAGAAGAAAGGATGCGAGTGGGTGAGTGCAGTTGATGATTGTCATGTGCCATCCTTGCACCCAGGGGGATTGCTGTGGCTTCTCTGGGTGTGCCTTGCTTACAGGTGCTTTGATCTGCAAACCTGCAAGAGATCCATCTGGTTCATGGCACCAACCATGGCCAAGGTTCAGAGCCTCATGGTCAGGTTTGGAACCATCTGGCACTGGAAGTTAATCACTGTGCATGGCCAGAAACTCTTTCCTATCAGATGGTCTTGGAATGGGGCATCTTCAGACCTGTCCCTGGGTAGGAGCCTCCAGAACGATTTGTGCTGGTCCCTTCCAACCCAAACCAGTCTGGGATTCCCTGATTCTTCTGAGCAGCTCCCCAGGGGATGGCATTGACTGTCCTAGGACAACCAAGAATTCCAGAGGTTACCGGCTCAGGAGTGTCTGCTCCCAAGCAGAGTCTGCCCTTGCAGTGCCTCGTACCATGGCAGGGTCTGTTATTACCACACATTGCAGCATCTGCTGTGATTGCTGCACCCATCTCAGCTCATCTCACCCAACTCCTGCATCTACAAGAGCAAGTTTTGCACCAGACAGGGCGAGGCTTACAAATAAAACCACTTTATTGAGTTTTTGCTTCTCTAGCACATGGCACATGGAGAATTAAGACACAAGGTGCGATGGGGAGCGATGTGTTTGTCCTTCACTCGGCAGAGGGTTCCTCCTACCCAGAAAAGCATATCCCCTCCTCTGCCGGTCCTGATGCTCAGTGATGTGGAGGAAGGTGGGCACTGAACCGGACCTGGAGCCTGGTGGATGCAGTTGTGGTAACCTGCTGTGAGGAGAGGCCCTGCCTTGCTCGCAAGCCGAGTTTGAGCTTGAAGTTGCTTTTACTTGACTTAATGACAGTAGAACACAGAGCACTGAGGGACTCCAGAACTCAGGGAAAAATCCACCACGAGCAGGTGTCCAAACCCCACAACTGTCTGGTAACAGCAGCTGATTCAGCTGCATTGCAGACTGGTACTTGGGGTGTTAGAACTGCATTTGTGGCCTCTGCAGCCAACCAACCACCAAAGATTCCTTCTTCCCAAAACTTGCTCTTCCTCCAGGGTCTGGGCCTTAGAAGCATTTTTCATTAAGGAAAAACCCTCTTGGTCATCCTCTAGTACCAGGATGCGATAAAACGTAAAGAAAGATCTGATGTTCATGCAAGGATGTCACCTATTTCTGTGACCTCTTCCCCCCTTTATGGCTGAACCCCACCAGTGGTAGCGCAGTTCTCTCCACTCCAGGTAACGCAGTGGTGTACGGCGGGGGGGATGAGCAGCAGCTACAAGAGGGTCCTAAGAAACTCTTCATGCAAATAGCTCTAAGGAGACTTCAGATACAGGGGAAAGAACCAGGTTTTCCTCCCTGAGGAATCAACAGCACTTTTTTCTCTATGGATACAGGGGTTTGGGACACACTGCACAGACTTCCACAGCTCATCAACACCTCGGTAGGAACAGGGAGCCCGGGAGCACGCGGCTGGGTTTGGGCTGACCACAGGAGTCTTTCACTGCTGCTCTTCCCAGCAGGCACTGACAGTGCAGCAGGGACGTCCCCTCCCCAGGCCCCCTCCGAGCACCTTTGCACCATTCCAGCCTCCAGGCACACCAGTCGCTATTTTACACGTCGTTTTACAGCGCTCTTGTCTCAGTCCTTCCTCCTCTGGAAGCATCCGTACAGTGAAAGCCACAGAAAACACATCACCTTGGAGACGCATTAAGACAAGGACGGGTTTGGCCACAACACAGGATTCTGCCTTTACTTACGCAACAACAACCAGACAAAGCCTCGCTGCTGCCGCTGCCCCTCAGCGAGAAGTTGCTGAGGCCGCAGGCCAAGGGCACGAGAGACGCGGTTCGGTCCCGCTCCGGATCAGGGCGTGGGGGGCGGCTTAGGGGAGGGGCAGGAGCCCTGGCTGTCAAAGCTGGCGGCGCGGCCGTGCCACTGCGGGGAGACACAGAGGGAGCGGGGTCTGAGCGAGCCGGAGCCGAGAGTGCCCCGTGCCTGGCACGGCCCGGGGCCAGGCTGGGCAGGGCCCTGGGCACCGTGGTGCGGGGTGAGGCGCCCCTGCCCACGGCGCGGGTTGGAACCGGGTGCTTTAAGGCCCTCTCCAGCCCAAGTCTGTGATCTGAAACGCTTCCCATCCCTTTCCCACGCTCCCTGTCTGCTCTGCTGCAGTCTCCTCTCTACGGCATCCTTCAACTTACTGAACGCCTGCGTTTAACCGCCGAGGGGGAATCAGTGAGCAATGGAGAGCATCGCTCTGTAAACCCAGGCGCAGGCGGAGGGCTGCTCGCAGAGGAGGCAGCGCAAACGCAGCAGTGTGCTGGGGAGGCAAAGCTTGCTCTGGGGTCAGCTTTCTGCTGCTCCCTGGCTCAGTGCTTTCTGGTTTACAGAGCCTGGCCGGTGATTTCCCTCCACAGAAGCCTCAGTGCCCACAGGGCCAGGGACACTTCCCAAAGTGAAAACCACGTCAGTGGATGTAGCAAGTACGGTTTTTACCACGCTTATGGATCATACATTATCAGTGATCAGCCCTGGGGGCTATTAGAACCATTCAAAGCCATCGCTCTTCAAGCCTTTGAGCACTTGCCCATCTCCCCATCCTGTTTGATCGCATCCAAACGACCAACGACAGACATCCCCCAGAGACAACAGGAGGCACAGCGCTCCCAGTGCTCCCTTCTCCCCACGGATCAATTCCCTCCTCTCCTGCATGAGCAGAAACCCTTTGGCTCATGTCAATGCTCTGGCGTGTACGGATTTCACTTGTGTGGCTGAAAAGTCATTCAGTAAGAGTGGCCCTCCCTGGGTCGGGCCTGCCCATGCAGCACAGGGAGCACGGTCCTGTTCCTCTGGAGCCAGCTGGCAGAGCCTGACTCTTAGCGTCCACTTCATAAATGTGCATTTTGATGGCTAGAGATAGGGGCAAGAACCGGGCCAGCTTCCTTCCCCTAAGAGGCAGTGGGTGTAAAGCAGCTCACGGTGCAGATCTGCATCACACGCACTGCATTTCATCGGGGCTGAGCAGGAACTGGGACTGGAGGAGCTGGGAAGCTTGTTCTTCCCAGCACCTGCCCTCAAGTAGGAGAACAGCTTCTTCTCTGTGTCTCCTCTCAAACGTATTTGCTAAAAGCCCTGAGGAACTGATAATGGGGAGAAAATCTCCCACTGAGAATTACCAATAGAACAGCAGAGAAGCAGAGAGTACCATGAAAACGGTTTTTTTGGCACCTCTCTGCCTCGTTCTGCCTCTGGTTACAGCGTTTGATCGTGCAAAGATGTAACGGAAACTCTTCCAAGAGCAGGTTCAAGTAACCTGTGTGCCTGAGCAGCCCGGGGCTGGGGTCTCTTCTTTCCATCAGGAAAGGTGACCCATTCACTGTGCAATTGAACAGTCACAAGCAGCTCAATGCAAGTCAAACATGCCCAAAAGTCTGGAGGGGGCCGGATTTGCATGGCTTTAAAGATAAACGGTTGCTCTTCATTAGGGGCATGACTTGGCCCTCAGCAGCGGGTTTCATCTACAGCGAGGTTTTGAAGAGCTCAGTGCCCCTGTGCTGAACCGGAGGCACTTGGCAACATGAAAGACCCATTTTGCATCTCGCTGCTGCTGCTCTCTGAGACCCGAGTTCGTCTTTTAGAGAGAACAGAGAAATCTCCGACTTTCAGAAGTCCCCTTCAAGATGTGCTGTAATTTTCTATTGCTTTTTATAGAGCCATCGCTTTTAACCTGCCTGATGGATGCTTTGGGAAGCGCAGAGGAAATGGCAACGGGTGGGATGATTGAAGTACCTTGGGGAGGTCACGGTGGGACCTCCGGGCTGAAGAATGGGAGCAGGTTTGTGCTGAGGACAGGAGTTTATTGTGAGGATAACTGAAAAACGCATCAGGGATTCTGGTCTTCTGCTCACAAACTCTTCCAAATGGCTGTGTGAGGACAGTGCTTAGAAGCCTGTAATTAATGATTCATTTGCACATGTTCTGTCTCTAACGATGATGGTCATTACAGAAGTACCCTCATTATGTTTGGTTACTCACTGCTGATAAATATGGAGCAACCAAACACAATGGAATGTAACAGGAGCAAGCTTCCCTGAAGGCTCCAGCGATGAAAGAGAGGAAAGGGCAACTCCTTCATGGAGGAAGGGCTAGAATCGTGCTGCCGACCCAGGAATGAGGGGGTTGGGATGTGTTGGTGCTGCGGCTGTGGAACAGACCCAGTGCTCCCAGGGTCTCATGTTAAGGAGCCAAGCCCACAGCACAGGAGGAGGCTTGGCCCAGGAAGCACAGCCCCAGGGGCACCAGGGTCCGTCCATCCCAAAGTGCTGTGGTGGGAGCTGAGGGCCGGGGCCAGGCCATGCTCCTGGTGGAACACATCCCTGAGGGACCATTCCTGAGAGCATCACCAGAACCTGGGACTGGGGCTGCCCCATCGCTGTCAGTGCTCAAGGCCAGGTTGGACACAGGGCCTTGGAGCAAGCTGCTCCAGTGCAAGGGGTCCCTGCCCGTGGCAGGGGTTGGCGCTGAAGGAGCTTTAAGGTCCCTTCCTATGCAGGGCAGGATGCCTTCCTCACCCAGTGTGTGGGCATCCAACACGGAGCAGCACTGAGCAGCTCTGCGTTCAGGGTTCACAGCTCCAGTCACCCGCTCCTCAATTTATGCACTCAGAAAGACAATTCAATGGCAGCCTTTCTGCTTTTAGTGTAAGGTCAAGCACTCAATCAGGAAAGACATTGATGTACAGCAGAGGCCATCAGCTATCGCTCTGGCAAAGAGAGACAGTCATGAGGATCAGCTAGAGAGCAAACGCTCCATTTGCTGCTGTCTGGCTGCAAATGCCTTTGATGATGAAGATGATGAAGATGAAGGCGACTGCTCAGGATTCCAGCACAGCCTGAGCTCCCTCCATGAAGAAATGAGGGTGGGAAAGGGGTGGAGGGTCAGAGCTTCTCCCTCAGCATCGGCATCCACGTGCAGATGGAGTGAGCAGCCGGCAGCCTGGGGGCCGGGACTGATGGAGTGTGACCCTGCATCCCACCACCAGCCTCTCTGTGCGTGGGGACCCTGACCTGAGGATATGGGACACAAAACCCAAGTTGCTTTTAGAATGCACACACACACAGAGGATGATGATGCGATTGCTCAGAACCACAAATCCCATTTCCCATGAATTTGTCCTGTTCCGTCTGGTTGCTTTGTTATTCTTTAAGGGACTTGCAGACAGCGGTGCTAACAACTAAAGGGAGCATTTGCTGGCTGGCTCGGAGGAGCAGCTGACGGCAGAATACCAGAAGAGATGATCAGAAGCTTTGTTCCTCTGCTTTTGAGCAGAGCTCCTGACCTATGCACGGGAGGGGAACATGATTCACTCAGGTTGTTCTTGCAGCGTCTGGGGGGCTCAGCAGAGGTTTTCAAAGCACACCTGAGCAGGTGACTCATGTGCAATGGCTCCCAGGCTCCTCTGGATTCTGCACAACGGTTATGTGGGGTTCTCATTGATCATCAGAAACCTCTCAGGGATCTTTCTCTCCATCTCCCACGTGCAGTAGGAGGAGCTCCCGGCCCTGGGGCGGCCAGGGCCGTGCTGTGGGGTGCTGCACACGATCGGACCTGCGCTGGTGATGGATCCCTGTGCTCCCGTGGCGGTGTGCGGGCACCCACTGCCTGCGCAGACAGCTCCGGCTCACGTGTGGGATGCCGGTGTGCGAGCATGGAAAGGGCAGTGACAGCCTGGTGCTGCTGCTCAGCACCCACTGCACCGACTGCGTCCCTGCCAGAGGAAAGAGCCGGTCTCAAAGATACAGAGGGTTTGGTGCATGCTGAGTCAGACTGGAGGGTAACCGAGCCAGGAGCCTGCCTTCCAGTGGAGCTCAGCATCAAGGGGGGGGGGGGGGGGAAGACGCTTTTTGTTTCGTACTCTGGCTCTGAGGGAAAAAGTCTCCTCAGGCCAGACGCAGCGAGAGGTTTTATTGCCTTTGGCCACAAATGCTGCCTTTCTTCTCACACCTGAAGTGTCAGTGGCGCCTGTGCCAATTTCCGCATCTCTCCCCTTCAGAATTTATGACCTAAATCGGGCAAAGCCCCAAAGAGCTCTATGGGAGGGTGAGAAAATGGAGAGCAAGGAGGAAAAAAACGCTAGAGATGGTCAGAATGGTACCCACGCGTTTCAGCCCTGGTTTATAATCTGGGGCCGCAGCAAGTGAATCTCTTTCTCTGGGGATGCTTAAAGCAATCCCATTTGTTCTATTTATTCTCCCTCAAAGGCTTGGAGATGAGTCAACAGCAAAATCGTTTAGGATGAGGAAATGGGAAGTTGAACTGGGCGATGCCTCGGGGCAATCGGTGCGCAATCAAACAGCGCTCCCCTCCCTTGCTGCTCCCAATCCCTGATTTAGAAACAAAAAGCAAAGAAAGAGAAAGGAAAAGGCAGCAGAGGCAGAGGCGCACCCGTGAGCTCAGCCCCTCTCCCTGCTGCGCGCTCCAGGAGCTATTTCCAGACCAGACAGAAACGTTTCCTGGAGTTCATTTCTGGTGAGAAAATTCCCTCAGCTCTTGTCAGGAAACCCCAGGGAGCTCTCGGGAGCCGCTCCCCGGCTTCTCCTGCACAGGTCGCGCGTTAAAAGGGAAGAACAACTCCACAAACCTCTTTGAAAGACTTCTTCACCTCCACTAACGGATGCCAGTGCGCTATGGGCTTGCGTGGGTACGCCAGCATCTCGTTCCAGTGGTCTCTGCCCAGCCCCTCGGCATTGACCCCCACGCGGCAAACCCCGATGATCTCGTTGTGACCCACTCTGAGGAGCAAGAGAACAGCAGCAGCGGTGTCACTCAGATCGCCTGTGCCTGCTGAGGCTGCTGGCCCTGTGGGGTGGTGATGATTTGCAGGACAAGCAAATAGTGAAGGGGAACACAGTCCTCACTCAAGAAAATGCCATAAAGCAAAGGACCAGCTTTAAGCAGTTACTATTCTAGCAGGTAATTCTCCATCACCATAAATATCAATGACACTTTAACAATAAATCACTAGAGACAAAGTGATGGCACAGAGCCATGCAACCACAGCCCTGATGCTATGGAAAATGGCTGCTGAACAGGAAAACCTGCATCCAATGGGACATTTTCCCCTCCAGCCCTCCACAGCCTCCCACCTACCGATCATAATCCATGACAGAGATGAGCAGGCTGACTTGATCCATGTTCTCGGGGGGAATGTCAAAGATTATTGCTTCATTGTAAGTGGGATTAAGTGTGTTTTTCTTTATGGTGGTTTTCTTCTTTTTCAGTCTTCGCCCGTCACAGAGCAAAGACACTTTGACATATGGATCTGGGGAGGAAGAGGTAGGAAAAGGCCTTCTGCTTATGGAGGTTTCTTTTGTTACCATCACCACATAGAAACAGCATTATCAAAGGGTGACTGTATGTCACCATGAGCTAAAGGCACCCTCAAATGTACTTTTAGGAATATGGATGTCTGGGTACCAGCTGAATCCACCACCTCTTGTACTGGTGTGAGTGATGTTGGGAGGTCCAGGCCCTGCAGAACCAGCCATGAAGACTGCCTGGGAGGCCGAATCAGCCACTTCCATCAAGTTTTGATAAGGGTTTGCAAGCGTAAGGAGGCCCCTTCTCAAACCAAGAGCCAGTATCCATTGGGTGACAATGCACACTCAAGCATTCGAGCTTGCTTTAATTGCACGGCCACAGACAGCAAACCAGTGCTTCCTCTAAGCAAAATCAGAACTTGTCTAAAAGAGCACAATACAATGCAGCATTGTGGCAATCTGAACTTTTGCAGGGATCCTTCCAGAACTACCCAATTGCTAACACTGTATAGCAGAGTTGAGTAAGGGAATTTTAAAGCCCATTATCCCAATGTCAAAGAGCAGAGAAAGAAAAAGGATTAGAGCAGCTCTGCTTCCCACTGGCTGATGATGGCAGAATGCCCTCAAGTTACAAATAGCTCCTGTTTGCTGTAAGGGCTGCTCAGGCCATTTCAATGCATTTTCAAGTAACAGTTAAACGTGCAATGTATTCTTGCAGAAACACTGAACTGGCTCAATCTGAAGTCTCAACTCACAGACATTTCAGATGGGATCAAGCTCCAACTGTGTAGAAACACTGAATGCAAGAGGCTCTTACCATATTGTTAGTGCTTTTAGTACAAGTCATCAATTAAATTCAAACACTGTGATGGTGAGCTCTGGGAAAGAAATTGCTTTTTTATGTTGAAATCCACGATTTGTGCATGCTGCGGTTGCAAGTCCCTTTGGAACTGTGGGTGCAGACAGTGTTCAGGTGACTTTGATCCTAACGTTTGAGTACTGGTCACTGTGCAGGAGAAGGAATATTCCCATGGGATTTATCCATGATCCTTTCCTAATCTTGGGGTGAAATGATTGATTGAATAACTAAAGGAGTTATTTGATGGAGAATTCCCTACTCACATGGCACTGCCAGGGTCAGTATCTGCAACAGAGCTGAAGCGCTCAGCCCGAGGGATGGATCAGAGCTTTGACACTGCAAACCCTTCAGCAGGGATGGGAAAGCTGTGTGTGTATAATCACCTTCCCTGGAGTCATGCCTTGGGGAGTGGGATTTAAAGATAATTCTACTTTTAAGCTTCTGTTCATACTTAAACCATGGACAAAGCTTTGTTGGGTTTTTGTGCCGTGACACAGCCTCGGCATAGAGAGATGTATGCCCACTATCCATTGAGGCTACCTGGAGGGAGAAGGAGGAAGTGTGGATGCTATGGGGTCCTTCTCAGCCATCGAGCACCTACCTGAGTAGCCAGTGATATCCATAGCCTTGAGATTCCTGCATTTTATGACAGTCAAGGTGAGGCGACCTGCAGTTGGCAAATAGCACAGGGAAAACATGATCTCCCCCAGGTCCACGCTTTCCTTCAATAAAACAGAGAACACGACATTGGAAACGTGCAGGAACCAGCTCACTGCCTCCACCCACCACGCAATGCTTTGTGCAGGGCTCCCACAGCACTCACACTGCAGCAGGCTTTGCTCTGCTGTCATTCTGCTGTGTTTGACACTTCACTGCTGGGAGGTGCTTCCAGTGTATCCCAACATTACCTGGCTAAAAGGAATATAGGAACAGGAGAAAAAAATGTGTGTCCAGATGTTACAGCTTCAAATCATAGCTAAGGACCATTTCCATTGCCTCGGTGAAGTGTGTGCTTCCAATTGGAGCATCACAGCTAATGCTCTTCTCTTTTTCTGCTCCGTTGCTTACACAGGAGTGAAGTGAGAACTAACACCAAATGAAGGCCACCAGGAAATCACATCAGCCTCAAGTTTTGCTTGAATGGACAGCATGGATCTTCCAGTGCCAAGTGTGTGACGCTACCATCTGTTTCCTCAGGTGGAGGAACGGGATGCAAATACAGACCACAGGAAGGTGAGACCCTGTACACTGCAACAAATGCAACAAGTGGCTTTTAGGACACTCCAGTAATAGGGGGTTATGGACTTTGTTGGTGCCCAACACATCACCAGGGAATGCGAAGGATGCACTGACAGTGATTTCTGAGCATGGATCACTAACCCGTTACAGACGGGGGATCAGAGCTTTCAAAGAACAATGAATTACCCTGTTCAGTGGCAATTGAGCTTTTAGACTGTGACCAGCTTGGACCACCAACCCCTGCGAGATGCCTTCAGAGAGCAAAAAAGTGCAGGAGAAGGCATGGATGTGTTTGTATGGGAGCAGGGAATTGTCAGCAGGTGGCACTCAGGAATGTTTGGTGCTTTCTGCATTACAGAGCCCAATGCAATTTGCTCTTTTAGTGCCCCATAAAACAACATTATACATCGCTCTTAGCACCTCTTGTACACGCAGCCTTATCTACTACACCTCCTAAAAGCCCATTCCATCATTGCCTTGCTCATGGGAATTCAGAAGAAAACAGCAAAAACCCAACCCAGAAATACTATTTAAATTAGAAAGCAGGAACACGCGAAGTCAGCAGAAAGATTCCCAAACACCCCCCAAAAAATGAATTAAAGGAAATTATCTTAATTTGTACATACAGATCTCACATCTGTAGAGCAAACAACTCGTCTATTTTTGGAAAGAGAGTGTTTGATTCATTTCAATGGCACATAATGATCTGCTGAAAAGAAATTGTAGCTCTTAGTAGTAGAGTGATGGAACTAGAAAGACAAGTAAATGCACTTAAAGCTTTGTTAAGTGTTAGGAGAATAGATCTCTTGATGGCTGAGATTCGTGCCAAATTATTCCCTTCTCTAGTAAGGCAAGGATGGGATATTTATTCCATGGGCAGAATACTGATGAACGTCATAGAAAAGTCTTGATTCTTGACAGGGCTTCACTTGACTAAAAACTGAATTAAGAAGCTTCTCAAGCACCGAGTACACTAAAGACCCAACGGCAGCAGGGTGTTTTCTGGCCAGAACAACGTGTGACGCGACTCGTATCTAAATAAACGTTGTCTCCGAAGGTGCTGTTTGCTGGTAAATAGGAACTTAATGATCTCACCCACTCGGAGTTCCTCCTCTGATCCCTCTCTCTAATGAGCCCACAGCATCCTAAACAGCTTGCCTTCCAAGGCGACACAATGAGCTCGAGTCCCAGCCTTGCCGTCAGTAGCTGCCAATGAAAGACGTGGAAGCATTTACTGAGTTCTGATCCCTATACCTTTAGTACCTCTTGATGTGTCCTCCTGGAGTGAACTTCTTGCTTCACAAAATATTACTAAAGGTGCCTTATGAAGGGGCCAGGATCGTTTCCATCACACATGAAATTGCTTTTGGAGCCCCTGCAGCTTCTCATTCACGGCTTCATTTCAGCTGCAGCCTCTTGGCTGCATCGGGTGCCCCCGCATCACGCTGCTGCCTCGGAGGCTGCTGAGCTCCATGAAACCAGCTTTACCACTGGGGTCACTGTGCCCCGAGAGCTGACCCAAGCTCTGCTCCTTGCTGCCTGGCTCCAATGTGGCCGATGTCAGAGGACAGAGCTCACAGAGCCTCATTCATTCAGTGTCTGAAAACGAGCCCGCAGAGATAGCACTAGAGAGGGCAGTTTACTTTTCAAACACGGCACTTCTCGTTACCTGCAGATGCATTCTTCCACTTTTAGCATGAATTGCTTCACACTGCACAGAGCCTGAAGAAATAACTGCACTGAGGAGGCGCTTTGCAAGGAGCACCTGCGAACACTGCTGCTGCATCAGAACTGAGCTTGAGGGCTGGGGTTGCACCTTTTCATAGGATCCCAGACTGGTTTGGGTTGAAGGGAGCTTAAAGCTCCTCCAGCTCCAACCCCTGCCACAGGCAGGGACACCTTCCACTAGAGCAGCTTGCTCCAAGCCCCTGTGTCCAACCTGGCCTTGAACACTGCCAGGGATGGGGCAGCCACAGCTTCTCTGGGCACCCTGTGTTCGCATCCCCAGCTCCAGTCAGAAACTGGAGCCATTCCTCACCACAGACCTCACTGACACTGCAGAAGAGCTGAGAATGCGTATTCTGAAATGATGGTTAGAAACGGTTGTTCTGTTCTCAGAGAAATGAGCACCTGAAGCTCACTGTGTGCCGGCTGCACTGAGCCCTGTGTTTGCAGCACAGTGCAGCAGCACTTGGTATCCACACAACGCACTGGCTCTGCTCTTCCGTGCATTCCTTGGTCCATGTTTCGGAGTGACAAGGGCAGGAAACCTTGGACACAGACATCAGCAGAAAGCAGCCCCATATGGGACTGTGAGAGCACTCCCTGAACATCATCTCAGCTCCTATTCCTCTCCTTGCACTGAGAGGACCTGTTCAGGGTATAAAATGAACATAAATCGGTCCTTGGCCTCCTTGCATTAGGTTAAGAGATTTTTCTTTGCAACCATAAACACAGGAGGGTGAAAATCACATCCCGTGGGTACCTGATTTTCTTGCAGATTATAGACCCTGGGACATTTCCAGCATTCCTATCAGTACTTCCTAGGGAATAATGGAAGCTGTGAATCAATAACCTCTGCAGATTTGAAACCAACAATGCTTCACTGATTCACAGGCTGTACACTCATCAATCCAATAGCTGAGTGCCAGCGATTTGAATAGCTTCTGTCATTGCCTAAGTGTGTCCCGATCTTCTAACCCACACAGTTGATGGAATGTATTATTAGTCACCCAGGGCTTTCTTTGGCTATTATGAAAACTGTATTTACCCTTCTCATTTGTGATTAAACAGAAATGTCCTTGGGTGTGTGAGAGCTGACTGAGATGTCCCAATATTGGCCCATTCCCAAAGAATGGCACAGGAAGGATGAGGGGATGGAGCCAAATGTGGCACTTGCCATTCCTGTGGGAGGCCTGCAGGGTTGCTGCACGATGCGTCTTGGGCATGATGTTGGCTCTGCTCCTCTCACACCTTCTTTGGAAGCTTTTTCCTCACCAAGCCTCCTGTTGGTGTCTCTCGCCCTGGTTTTGGGTTGGTTTTGGTTGGTTGGGGTTTTCCCCATTGAATTAATTCATTTCAGTAGGGAAACCTCCCCTATTCCCCACAGAACCATGCCAGCAAAACACAGAACACACCCAGGCTAAGAACCCCGCACCTGGCTGCAGTGGGGTGCTTTACGTGCTTTTCTTGTCCCAGTTGCATTCCTGCTCCCAGGTCTTTCCCCCTTCAAGCTCTTGAAGCTTTGCCATGCTCTTTGCGTGCTGATCATAGAGCAAGGAAAGGGAAACCCCGGGGTTCCCCACCAGGGCACATCACAACCTGGCAGGGCTGCGTCTTGCAGGCAGAGCAAATGCAAACAGGCAGATGCCCCCACAAGGCACCCACATGTGTGATGCCCCTTGTTCTGCTCCCAGCAGCCCTTGGCCAGGTGAACGATGCACCCGAGGCTGCTGTGTTCCCTTTCGTTCCCCTTCACTAACGATGGCAGGCACGGCTGTTTGTGGGTTGGAAGCCACGAGCGCCCGCACCCTGCCACAGCACCGCGCAGCCGGGAGCTGATCCTCTGGAGCAGGTACTCACCGTTGTGGCGTACTGGATGTCCTGCCAGATGGAAGTCTCCCGGGAAAGGTCTGAGGCCTCGAACAGGTTCTCCAGGATGACTTCTCCTATCATGTCATGCCTGGAGAACCTGTCGAAGTCAAAGACGCTCAGGTGGAGCTTCCTGCTCCCCAGCTCCTCGTGGGGCACGGGGAAGTGGAAGGACTCATCGAAGGTGGGGTTCAGGGTCTTCCTGTGCACCCGTGTCTGGAACTTGCGCTTTCTGTCGGGCAGGAGGTAGATCTTCACGTAGGGGTCAGAGCTGCCACAGAAGTCTTTGGCTGGCAGGTCGAACGCCCTGAGGATGCGCACGCTCAGCGTCTCGCTCTCGTAGTCGTACTTGAGGGTGAAGTTGATTTTCCCACAGGTTTTTGCTGCCTCTTTCTTGGGGTCCTCAGAGTCAACAGATTTTTGCTTGTAGAGCTCGGGTTTGATGCGCCCGATGCTGGTCGGCTGCTCGGCCACGGCCGGCACGTCCATGCCGTAGTCCATGCTGGACACGTGCATCTGCCGAGGAAGGTGCCTCTTGAAGGAGATGTGCCTGCAGGAGGAGCACACAACAGCTCTGTGCTTTCCAAGGGTATTTCTCTCCTTTGCCTCCCTTACTACTGTTAAGAAAGCAGGGAGAGCGCGGAGCGCTGCTGACTGCCACGTGGGAGCCATGTACGGTATGGAAGTGAACCCGGAGGGAACACCGCCGGTGCTCACAGGAACCAGTCCAGCACATCTCCTAACTCCAGAGTGTGCCTGCGACAAGGTGCATCGTTTCACCTGTTACAGGAGAAACTGCAAACAGCTAAATATATGAGACCCGACAACTCCTTCACCAAGACACAGGCTAGCCACTATGAACACTCAGTCCTTACAATTCCAGGAAGCATAGAATCACAGATACCAGCACTAAAAAGCTTTTAAAGTGAGAGAACCACAACGAGCTCAGAAAGTTACGTTTTATTCTGGGTATTGCTGCTTCCAGACTCTGACCAGAAACGATAGATAATTCTTGATGGGGAGGGACGCAGAGCCTCATTCGAAAGCTGTCTCTTGCCTTGAGCTCCCCTTCAGCACACGGGAAACCATGTGTACCAAAGCTTTATCTAAGCAAAGCATAAGAGCTTTCTGTGGGCTCATGGCATTACTTCAGATTATCTGGTGTTTACAAGAGCAGTTTTATGGAGCCATTTAACCATGCTAATAAATGGTACAGCCAGAGCAGTAGCTTCTGGTGATCCACGGTGCTGGAGCCCTCACTTCTCCTTGGCAGGTTCCTCAAAGGTGTTTTGGCCTGGGCTAAGCTGGGCTGTCAGAGATCCCAAACCGCATCCCTGGGTCTGGCTGCCTGCCTGCGGTTCATGCTGGGCTCTTTCGCTTGAGAAAGTGGGTTTGAAACCTTCCCACATGTGCCCAAGTCCCGCTCTGCTTGTGCTCATTCATCCAGGCTGAGCTTTCTTCTCTTCCCTTGGGAACTTGCAATAAAAGCAGAAGGAGCTCGTGCGTGACAGAGGCCGTCGGCTGCCCACAAAGCAGCGCAGCCAAATAAGAGTGTGTGGCACAACTGCAGGCAGCACCGTGGTGACGTTAACTCCAGCTTCTTCCAAGAGAAGGCTGTGACCCAGGCCTTATCAATCCTGCAACATCACAGCCCATCTGAGCAGTGTCTGCTTGCCCAGTCACGCTCTCACATACAGCATGGGCACAGCCAACAGAGCAAGCAGAAGTGCTGGGGGCAGCCAGGAGCCTGCGATCACCCTTTCCTGTCCCACTTTCTCAGCCTGATGTCAAGGAGAAGGCACCGTATTTCTCAGTGCTCTTGCCAAGGAAGTGTCCCGGGGTCTGTGCAGCCTTACCCTGGCTCCCCCCAGGGTGATGCTGACATCTCTGTCCCCAGCTGAGACAGACCCACATGGGGCGCAGCTGGTTCTAAGCTTGTGCACCGAGCGATGCGTCAGCTCTGCTTATCTAATTGTGTCTGCTGGGAGCCACAGCAATGAGGGAGAGCAGAGAGGTCTGACTGTGCCTGACAGCATCCCATCAGCAAGGCTTCAGCCTGCCTCTCATCTTCCAGCAAATTACAATAGCCAAAGCGTTCTGACAGCTTGACACAATGAGGTCAGGTCACAGTAATAGGGATTGAATCCTGTTTTTTTTCAAAGGGCCCGCAGTAAGCCAGTCTTAGCACATTAATTGGTTAATGACACCAAGTAATCCGGCATGTAGGTGGGAGTGTTTTCTTTAGCCACCCTGAAGGTATCTGAACCTCAGGCTCCGTTAAACAGCCACCGTGAGGCGCAGCATCCCTGCAGAGCATTGCATCCCTGGCATTCAGCCCTGAGAAGGCTCCAGGAAGACCTTAGAGCAGCTCCAGTGCCTAAAGGGGCTACAAGAAACCTGGAGAGGGGCTCTGGACAAGGACCTGTAGGGACAGGGCAAGGGGAATGGCTTTAACCTGCCAGAGGGGAGACTGAGATGAGCTCTTAGGCAGAAGCTCTTCCCTGTGAGGGTGCTGAGGCGCTGGCACAGGGTGCCCAGAGAAGCTGTGGCTGCCCCATCCCTGGCAGTGTTCAAGGGCAGGCTGGACACAGGGGCTTGGAGCAAGCTGCTCCAGTGGAAGGTATCCGTGCCCATGGCAGGGGTTGGAGCTGGAGGAGCTTTAAGGTCCCTTCCAACCCAAACCAGACTCAGTGATCCCGCTCACCTGGTGGAAGACGCAGGCTCTGTTGTTTGCCGCTGGATCCGCGTGCGCCGCATGATGTGGTCCTTCATGGACATCTGCACCTCTGCGGGGATGTCTGGCGATGTGTGGCTGATCTTCACCGCTGCCTCCAGGAAACTGATGGCGCCCGTGTCCTTGAGCTTGTCTGCCATGCTCTCCTTATGGCAGCCTGCCTCGCTCTGCAGGACGGCCAGGTTAGAGGATACGGCCTTGTTCCTCCAGGGAACCCAGCACAGCTTCCAAAAGAGAAACAGGAAAGCTGCCACCAGGGCCAGTCCGCACACGATCACTATCACAGCAAGGAGGCTGACAGAAAGCTCTGTGGGGGGAGAGAAGGCAACAGCGGCAGGGAGAGGGGAGGAAGAGGGAAGGAGGAGAGAAAAGAAAAGAAAGATGGTGAGAGAGCCATAAGTAAAGGAAGAAATGTTCCAAACTGACTTAAGTCATGACTAACAGGGGGTTCTTAGCAGGTTCTGCATCAGGAGTCAAACCCAAGTGAGCATCCCCTGCAGATCAGGACCATGTCCTGCCCCAGACACAACCTGGAAGAAACACGTGTTCCAGATGGCAGAAGTTTTACACCATGATGCTTACACCAGCCATAAAACATCATTCTTGGTTTGCTTTCTGCCACTGGCAAACTGCTGAGCCTGAAATCAAGAGGAACTGCAGAACTGGGTGATGGAAACAAGCAGAAACTGCCTCTTTGCTTCATAGCACAGGTGTTGAGACACTGTATTAAAGCATCTCTCTGCCATGATCCTGGAAGCAGATTGCTGTTACGCTGTCAGTGCTCACATCTTGTCCAGATGTGCCCATGGGGAATAAAAAGTAAATACCAATAAAGAAGAAACAAATCACAAGCTGCTGATGCAGTGCAAGCAAACATGGAAGGAGGCTGTACAGAAAGTACTACACAGTCTTCCTTATTCCAAAGAGCATAGGAGCTGCGTCTGTTCTCTGCTGCTCTGAGTCACTTTTACCTCACACTCTGCATTTCAGTGTTTCAGTCTTTTTCTGGAGAGGCAAGAGCTTCCACAGCTATGAGCATCAGGAAAAGATGCAGCTATATTGTGTATATAGATACAGATATATACACATGATCCAGGCAGTGAAATGACTCACAGCGCTTCAAAAAGAGAAAATAGTGGCTATTTTTAGTTCCTTTCTTACAGGATATTAATTCCCAGATTGCCACCCAAACCAAGAGCCAGCCAGAAGTCCCTGCAGCTTTCCCTCTCCCTCACCAGCCTCCTGTACAGGTCACACTGCAATATGCATTTGCTGCTGTAGCTCCAAAGTGGGAGCATGGATCACTCCTGTGATGAATAAAGAGGTCCCATCTTACTCAATAATAGATAGGATTGTACAGGTCAGGGGCTGAGCTTCCTTTGAGATTTGGCTAAATATGTTCCCACCAAAGCAGAGAGGGCAAAGGTACCATTTTCCTATCCTTTTAGGCCTTGGAACTGTGCCCAGGATAGTCAGTGTCAAACGGGTTCATCAGAAAACTGAAGGACTCGGTGCAGACACGTCTGTTATCACAAAGAGAATCATTGCAGTGTGGAATCCATCACTGCTGGGAGCTGCTCCGTGACTGGAAAGTTCCTGTTAAGACACCTCTGCCCATCCCCAGCAGCTCTGCTGCCGCCCCAGGCTCATTAACGGGAAACATCAGAACCACTCCGTTAGCACCCCTGAAAACCTGTTGCCAGGTCGAGAGCCTTCTACATCCATGCCACTTCTTGCTGAGCTGGCATTCGTAATGGATTTGACAGGATTCACAGCTCCTTTCCTGCATGACCTCCTCCTCCTGCCTCTGACAGCTCACATGAAGCACACGTCCAAGGGATCAGGATTTTACAGGCTTTTTTTAAGCATCTGCCTGGGAAGAGCCTTGGTTTGTCTGCAGATGACATGGAATTTGCCAAGACCTTTTCGTGGCTTATTAAACTGAAACACGATTTGGACAGAGTTGACCTGAATTGATGTAATGAGCTCTCTGGTATGAAGTTACTGCTATGAAAATGCTTATATTCAAAACGTTATGTTTTAAATGTCCTTTCACTTACAAGACACTGGAAACCCAAGCTAATTCCTCACCTAACAGACAATGCCCCAGGGCCAGAGGTTGCTTGGCTATTTCTGGCATGGATGGACATAAGGCTTGTTCTCCAAAGACAGAACAGACTAAAAGGGAACCTCAGCCAGGGAAAGATTAGCTCCTCTATTGCTGTTATCCCACCCTGTGCAGCATTTGGGGCCAAGGCTTCCTGAGCAGAGGTTAAAGAGGAGTGAGGGATGAACCATTCTGTGGTTCTATGGTCCTGTGTCTGCATCCAGCAGTAAGAAGGGCTTCGTCTAACACAGAACGGCACAGGAACAGTTCAGCCTCTGCTTTTTCCCAGAGCATCACCACTGTTATCGTCCTGAGGAAGTCCTGTCTGAGGAAAAATGTAGGAAGTACATTTCTGTTCTGCTCTCCTTTAAAATAATACCCGAATTATTTGTCACTTTGTTATCAGGTAAGTGGGCCACTGAAGTACAGAGAAGCTTCAGCCATTCCTCACCCTTGCGTTATCTCACTTGCTGCTGGAGCCTCATCCAAGCCCAGCTCCCTTGAAAGAAATTGCCATGTTGGAAAATAGATTTTGTTACAACTTGTAACTGAAAAGATAAAGCTTAAAGAAGGAGGCGGCAAATACAAATTAACATGGTTATTTTCCAGCCCTGCTCCCCCCTGGGACCAAGAGCTGCTTCCCAGAGGAACCCTCAGCTGAAAAGTGCGTTTAGCTCAAGAGCAGCAATGATGAAGCTCTCGCATGGCTAACAAGAAGGGAGGGAAGAACAAGCAACAGAAAAGACAAGGGTGCGGATGTGAACATTTACCTGCATGAGCTGATATATTTAGGATAAGTCACCAAGCTGTTATTTATCCAATGAAGCAGAGACAGCGCCCTCAGGGATGATCTGGCTCACTTAAGGGCTTTTTGAGGCAGAGGCTTAGCATGGTATGTAAAGCAAAAGCGCAATAGTGAATTTGTGACCCCCTACATCTCTGTGTGCACCCAAACCCCTCAGAGAACAGAGACACTGCCCCTACATCCCACAGCAGTGCCCCAGAAGTGGCCATCCACAGTCACCACCAGCAGTCCTTGTCCTTCACTGCAAAGCAGAGACCTTCACCGAAAGCATTTCCACACCAGGAGAAGCAGGGCAAGGCTCCTCTCAGCCAGGAATGAGCTTTTGATGAGTTGTGCCACAGGTTCCCCACCAGAGCAACTGATGGAGAGAGAAACAAATGGAGCTTTCTACCACTTTCCCCCAGGACAGACGTGAGCACATCCGCAGCAAGGGCCATGGATCACGGTCTCTGCTCTGCTTTCTGTTAGAGAGCAGGAGAAAGCCATTCCTGAGAGGCTAATGGGAAATGATAATTTATCACCGCTTACGCAGTAGGAGTTCAACACCAAAATTGAGTCAATGGAGATGCTGAGCTCCCACCCCTGCAGCCTGGCATAAGACAAAATAATGAATCAACGTCCCCAGAGACAGCATAAACAGCTTTGACTTGTTACAGAAACAACAGTGCCCTTCGGGTTTCTTGTAGCAGGAGCAGCTCTGTTTGCGTAGAACAGTTACACAGAAGGGAGCAGGGATGAGGGCAGTGGGAAGCTGCCCAGGTGATGCTCAGGAGATGCTTGGCCCAGGACTGTCCTTCTCTGGCAGAGACCTGATCTCAGGGCAGCACCCTGCTGCCAGAGCCATGAGGAGCAGTGGTGAGACCAGCACGAGGACAGGGACATTCAGGGACACTCTGGGTCAGTGCAAGGGACACAAGCTGAGACTGGACCATATTCAGGCATTTAAATACAAACAAGTGTCACGACTGTGGGTATTTGACAGAGGACTCCAGCAGTGAGATGCTCTTTGATGGAAGAATCTCACTGCAGAAAAGACCCGAAGCCAACAGCAAGCAATGGGGATGCCAAGAGCACAAAGGAGAAGGTCTGTTAGCTCTCAACTTGACCAGCAAACAATCTTCTTTCTCTTCTGACTTCTTGTGTGTTTTCACTGTGTTTGTAACATCTCAAAAGCTGGTTATTGAATCTTACCAAAAACCCCCCACAGGATGGCTCAAAGCTATAAAACTCCTGAGAAGGCCACTACTTCCTACTGCCTTTCAGATAAGAGATGAGATGGAACAGGGCAGGACAAAGGGGCAGTGGAGCAATTGAAAACTGTAAAGCTTAAAGAAATATAGGCAAGGGGGATCATTTCTTGGCTAGTTCACCTCCCCATGCACTCAGAGAGCAGCTCCGCAGTGCAGCCATCCCCTGTTTCATCTTGGATGGGAGCTAATTAAGAGAATATGGTGGAAATACCGTTCAGCTTTATGTCCCTGCTGACTTCCTCATACCCAAAGTGAGATACCAAAGGGGATAATTAGCAAAGGGCAAACAGAAAATGATTACTAACATGACAAAGCCATGATTACAGCAGTCTATTAGCTGCAAGACAATTCTGGCCTAATTATGACAACACTGACTTTTATTACTGTGAAGTAGCTTGAGCTCCCATTGAAGAGATTCATGTGTAACTCAGAGTTTAATGCGAACAGTTATATTTAATATCCTGAAGAGGTAATTTAGCTTTCTTTCCACCCACTCCCTATAGAGAAAACAAAACATGCTGGATGGCTCCCGCAGTGCTCCAACACCTATTAGTCATTGCAGCGACCTGTTGGATTTAAACAAAGTTTGAATGCCATGAGTGCACGTTCCAGGGGCTGAAGAGATTGGATGCTATGAGCGGAGGCTCGTGCAGGAGGAGCTCAGCTGCAGCAGACACCAGGACTTGATCTGACCCCCCATGTGCTGGGCTGCACCCCTAGAGCTGAGCAGCAGCTCGGGGGAGATCCTGCCCCACTGCTGCGCTCTGGGGAGAATGTTGTTCTATTTCTGTAGGGCTTTGGAGGGATCATGCGTTCAAATGATGGATTACTGTAAGAGTCATTGCTGGAGGACAAGACGGGCAGCTCTGGGGCTACAGAAGACCACGTGAGACACCCACTAACTCTGATCTAATTTGCTCCCAGCTGAGGAGCATCAGCAGTGTAAGTCTGATGAGCTGACGGCTGCAAATTGGCCATGAGAAACTGTGGTGGATCTTGGATGCCTGAGGCGGGGGCAGAGGCGAACACAGAACAACCCCAGGGGAAAAGCAGAGGTTTCCATTAAACCCTGGCATAGACATGTGTATTTAGCAGCATCATTCAGCGCTGAAGCTTTCCAGAGCAAGAAGCAGGGACCAGACA